GGGGGGGGGGAAGAATGAACAAGAATTACCCGGCATAGTTTTAATAAGTTTTGGAAAGGAACATCAGCAGTCTTTCCTGAAAAAGAAAAAAAAAAAAAACAAACAAGCAAATCCCACTATCATAGTATTACAGAATGCGTCAACTCCTGCATTTTACAGACTGATCAGAGTGCAACAGTCTGTAGACATTCCTGCAAAAAGGCATGGGATATTGAGAAACAATTCATTCTGCTGTTATCAGACTAGAAGACAAGGAGTAGAGTAACACTTTGTTCAGGGAAAAATTACTTGGGCAGCAGGAAACCGATTCCCTCAATACAAATTAAAACACCTACACCTTTAGCTATGTCAGAGGAGAGATTTCATTCCTTTGGAAGCAGACGGCAGACAGCAGACATGCACTCTACAGAACTGCCCATTTGGCCCCTTGTGGGAAGGGGGGGAGAACGCGTAAGTCTTCCCCACAGCAGCATTTTCTGAACAAACTGGCAGAGCATGCAAACTGGCTTCACAGGAAAACTCAGGTTGGGTTGCGCCCAACATCCAGCCTGAATAGAACCATTCAAGAAAATAAATAAAAATCCCCTCCTTCTGTAAAAAGAGTGGTTACAGCTTTCAGAAAGTACCCAGCATTATTCCCCTTCAGATGAATTAAATCAAAGTATTTTCTATTTAGATAGCTTGCTTATATAGCAGTGTAAGCCTTACATGTACAAGGTCTAAAACCCCTTACCTTGCTTATGTGAAACTCCAGTTTTCTGATGTATCTCTCCACAGAGCGGATTTGCTTTTCAAAAGGGGAGAGAGAGGAGGACTTGAGAAATCATTTCCTAAACATGCCTTAAGTAACACAGTAGGCACATCATTCATTTTTCTCTATTTGCAGTGTTTCCTCTCATCCTCAATAGCCTTACCTTATCCAGGTCATAGTAGAAAGCCTGAAAGAGAAATAGCACAGGCTGAGCAGGAAAGCATGTATATTTGTACATATACTTTCGTATTTACTGCAAATACAACAAGTACAAATACTTCCGTATTTACTGCAAGACTCGCTACGCATATCTTAAGTTACACCAAATTAAGATGCATTGTTTACTACAAGGAGACAGTCCAACATTTTTAATAGTTTCATTTTCTGTGCATGGTTGGTTGGTTTGTTTTTGCAGATGCTTGAAATAAGACAGTAATGGTCTCACCACCAGCTATAACAACATTGGTCATGGTACATGGAAGTTTCCAATTTATTTATTTTTTTAGTCTAGCTATTATTTCCCAAATGAAAGGCAAAGTTGGATCTGCAAGTTGTCTTTACATTAGCAATGTTGCTGAAGGTACTTTAGGGAGTTGTGAACATGACAGAATCTAGGTTACAAGGACACAGGCACCAACTACGGAAAACAAAACCTGATCTTTATCACCATTTCTGTCCATACAGAGTCAGGTACAAACACTGATCACTGAACAGACACAAGGAGATACCATCCCAGTAACGGAACACTATCTGAAGAACACTGCTGGATATTGAAAAATGAGAAATCCCAAGTTTAATTCTCACATCTAGAGCTAGCCTGCTCGGTAAATTTCTGGTTGTGATGCCTTGCTGGACTTCACCTCAGTGCTTCAAATGGAAAACCCCTGGGAGTCCCAGATGTGAGAGAGCATCTACTTTTGTGACTTCATTTTTAAAGTCATTTAAGTATTTAACATTAAAAGCATCTTACCAATCTGGAGTTCCTTTTTGTATCTTTGTGTCGACCAGAGAGATAATCCAATTCAGCCTGATGTGCTTCTAAGCATTCACTGGAGAGGAAGAAAACCCAGTGTTATGTTCTTCTGGCCCACTCATTACAACACCTCCCCAAAGAATTTTTCAGCAGAATATTACAGAAGACTTCTCCTGGTTTACTCTCTAGAGACGTGAATGGCTATATAGAGGGACATGGGTCAACAGATGAGAAAGAGTGGTCTCTATAGACAAATATCTGTCCTAAATGCAAAGTCACTCCTAGACAAGCATCTGTACACAACGAGTGCCAGAAGATGCTGATTACTGTTACCTAACATTTAAAGATGCTGTACATTAGGAATCCTCCTGAATCCTTTTACTCCAAGACGTGGAATGCTACAGTGCAATTCAAGAAGGCCGCCACTGCAGCAGAAGGCATATACATGTACACATGCACACACTACACTCAGACATTCACTATTTCTTGTTTCCTTTCATCTAAAACAGATCATTCAAGTGAAAGATAGGCTTTATTCCAGGAATGTGAGGCAAAACAAAACAAGACGTTAGAGCTGGAAGTACTACCAAAGACAAGAGGACAGAAAGGATGTAGGAGAGTAGCAAGTTCTCACACACATAACCCAGCTCACAGATCTCCTTTTCAGATTTCTCTAGCTACTCCTGTTTGGCCTTCTGGAACCATTTCTGTAAGGTAGAAGATCAGTTCATTTGTTGAGCAAGTCTCTTCTTACAGTTACTGAGAAGTAAGAATTCATCAACCAACTCCATCTTACAAAGCCAAAGAATTGCAACACAAACCCAAGCTCATAGAAGTACTCCACATGTAAGGCAGGGCACATGTCATCCAGTGTTTTAGCACACAGAACTGAATACCACCTTTTAGTATGCTAGACAATTTTTTAATGTGACCATTACTTTTTCCAGAACGAGAACTATTTTGCAAGGTGTGAAGAACTTGGTGCCATTTGGCTCCCATAGAGTTGCTTGCATGCAAGCGTTGTCTCTTAGGAGTTCTCACAGGGCCTTAAACTATTTCTGCTGAGACCATCTTCTTCCAACTTTGCTTTTCATACAGAGCAGACTTAGGTAACTTTTTCCTCTTATGCTTAAAAGGGAACAAGAGTAACTCGGTAAATACTACATTATAAGACAGTTTCTGAGCAGTCAAAATAACTTCATTTTAGACAGCTGCACTTCTTCACATTTGCTTTGATGCATTACATTTTCTTACTGTTACAAAACCAGTTCCCCCAAGACACCCAGTGGCTCCAGCATTCAGCTGTCTCCTCCTTACACTTGCCTATTAACAGCTCAGTGCAGAAGCAGCCAAGGCTGGTGGCAGAAAAGGGTTCACTTTCCTTTTAGTAGAGCTTCATCACTTTTAGATTTAAGTATGTTAGTATTGCCAGCTTCACGGAATGGTACCCAGATGGTTAACAGAATAAAGAGTTATTTGCTATAGCTATAAAGAAACAGGCACGTAAAACATGTTCTGTACTAAAAATTCAAGTCACTCCAGCACCAAGTGGACTCAGTCTGCGTCTACTTAAAATTTGGACTTTGCATTGCTATTCGATACAGTTGTTTTCTGTAGGTTACTTTAGTCAATTAGTTAGCTGCTCAGTTTTGGCAGGAGTCTGATCATATGGCATTCCCTGCAGAACTGGGAACAAATTCTGAGCCACTTTATGGTTTCTCCTCCCTAAGCTCTGATAAATTCTAAACTCTGCAAAAACATTTGGGTTTGTTATTTGTTTTAAATCTAAATCCACTAATAAGACATTGACTGATAGTTTTAAGGCTAAGACTTTATAGTCTTTTGTTGGAATAAAAATGTGACACATCTGAGTTTACAATGTATTATTACAGTGTGTTTTATGTTCTTTGCTTAAGAAAACAAACTGTCATCAGAATTAATACAGTAGCAAAATTCTGAGGACAGCAACAACATACATGAACGAACTGTTAGTTAGTAGGGTGCCAGCAGAAAGAGCTACAGGGTTTACAAATCCAAGGAAAGGTATTTCACCTTCCGATAGTAGCTTCAGGGTGTAAATGAAGTTCCTATGATATTAGACTAGGCCCATCACCATCAACTGTAATGATTTAAGATGTATTTTTATATAATAAGATTTGAGGACTCAGTTAAAGGTTGATCAGTGTTGTGGTTTAACCCTAGTCGGCAATTAAGCACTACACAGCCGCTCACTCACCCTCCCCCCCACAGTGGGATTGGCCAGAGAAAAAAAGTAAAACCCACGGGGTGAGATAAAGACAGTTTAATAGGACAGCAGAGGAAGAGGAAATAATAATAAGAAAAGAATATACAAAACAAGAGATGCACAATGTAATTGCTTACCACCCGCTGACCGATGCCTTGCCCATCCCATCCCCAAGCAGCGATCGCTGCCCCCCAGCCAACTCCCCCAGTTTATACACTGGGCATGATGCCATACGGTATGGCACAGCCCTTTGGCCAGTCTGGGTCAGCTGTCCTGGCTGCGCTCCCTCCCAGCTTCTTGTGCACCGGGCAGAGCCTGGGAAGCTGAAAAGTCCTTGGCTTACTGTAAGCACTGCTTAGCAACAACTAAAACGTCAGTGTGTTATCAACATTATTCTCATACTAAATCCAAAACACAGCACGATACCAACTACCAGGAAGAAAATTAACTATCCCAGCCAAAACCAGGACAATCCGTTTCAATCACTGATGGAGGCAAACAGCACTTACCACTAGTTCCTTTCTGGTCTATGATACCAAGAGAACAAGCTCATCCATGTTTTATTGCCATTTCAGTATTCAGTAGTATCAGTGTTTCTGTGCAATAACTGACAGCTTCCTCAAAGCAAGAATACCCTAAATTCAGATTGCCAGCCCATCCTTTGATCTCTATTATGTCTGCTGCATACACCCCACATCTGCCAGACAGAGACAATATGGACAAAATTGGTCTTTAGCCTTTTCACTCAAGTCTGTACTGATGCAACATTGACTGTGCAGTCAACCATAATAAAGACTCTGAAATAATGCTACGTTTAAAGGAAGAGTGTTACCTACATTGGCATAAGAAGATGGAGTTATATTACAGCTGTTTCATCACCTCAAGTCGGCTGAAGTTTTCAGGTGGATCTACTTAGACCTTTCCCTTACAACACGCCACCCAGAGATGAAAGAGGACTTTTGAAGTCCAGAGTTTAATACTATTAAAAGAAAAGAAAAAAAACAAACCAGAAAACAAAAAAACCCACTAGACTATCTAACTCTTTACTTTAAGTGCTCTCTAATTAGCATAGAGAGAATAGAAATGGTTTACTAACCAGCCTCCCCACTGTGTCCTTGCAGGGCACACCCTCGCTTTCAGACTTGGTTTTAAGTCAGCTTTTTGAGTCAAAGCAAACTCCACGCAGCTCCCTCTCCAGAAACTTTCTGCCAATCACCCCCCAGGTCTGGCTGTCCCATCCCTACCCAGGTCTCTCCTTGGTCTGCAGTCTTCCTGCCTGCCACCCTGCATGCTCTGAAAGCCTCCCTTCCTCAGGAGAGCTTAGCTGCTCCCCAGGAGATGGAGAATCTCCCCACAGAGTTCTACCTGTTGTTGTTCCACTTCTCTAAAAAGTCAAACTAGGAACAAACAAAAACATCAGAGCACTTTGTTTGCAAGCAGACTGTCTGAGAGTGAATGAAACTTGTTTTACAAGGTCACAAGTCAGTGTCTGGGAAAGTCACTACATATGTTTAGAGATGCCAGATGGGAGACAGAGAACAGTGATACAGACTTAAGCAGCATGACTAGGTAAGGCAAATTACAATATTTAAAGAGTCCTTACTTAAGTCCTTTCTTCAAAGCTTCAAAAATTTTCTTCACGTGCAGTGGCTTTGGATCCCAGATGACCGCCCCCTTCTGCAGGGAATTATAAGCCTTGGGGGATTTCAGTGACATTCTTGATCTCACTGAACTTCTGCTGAGAGACTTTCTGTAGAAAGAGAAGAGAAATATGGGAAAGATGCAAACCCCATCACCTGGGAGAACAGAGATGCCTAACGCACAAAGCTTCCAGGCTGCAAGTTATATGCCCAACCCCATATACCTTTACTCAAAAGAGCAAAGCTCTTAGACACACTGAGAATACTTTCACAGATAACATTAGAAAGTTAAGGCCCAGGCCTAAATACCTATTGCAAAAAAACTGCAAGTTTTTTGTGACTTCAACAATAATAATTTCAGTAAGAAACATCTCCTTCTCCAAGCTTGACGCAGACTCCGAGAAGCCTAGCGGTTCTCTTGTATCCTTTTTAAATAAAGAAAAATTGCGCAGGTCTCCACCTCTTTGGGAAGGTGGGGGGCACTGAGCAAGAAAAACAAAAGCTCATTTTTATAACAGCTTGATAACAAGTTAACGTTCATACGGCTAGCAACTGTCTTAACAGACACGCATGGCAGCTAGCTACGGCCCTGCTTCTGTGCGCACGTTCACACCAGTTGTTGGGTCAACTACAGAACTAGTCCAGCAAGCCACACTGCAGGACAAGGACATTCCCATTCTGACTCTCACCTGCAATTCAGGAAAATGAAGCAACAAACTTTTGATCTGCTCAAGGTCTAACTGATAAAGCTAGCATAAAAAGCCTTTAGAAATGGATATTTCTTTGCCTTTATTCACCGTCCATTTAAATGATGGTTTAGAGCCCTACCACATTTTAGAAAAGCAAGCTACCAAGCCCAGACTGCATACAAGATATCATTATCAAGGTGTTTTATCAGTGTCTAGCACCTCACTTACTTTTAAGAGCAACTGCAAAAACAAAATTAAATATTGTTTCTAACAGAAGTCCCCTCAGACAGGATTTTTTGTGCTAACCTAAAGAGTTAGAACACCTTGAGCCATTAGTTACATATCTACAACATTTAAACCAGAAAATGAGCTTTCTGCAAATGGTTCTTTCACATTGTCAGATTCCTGCCTAGCTTACCTCTATCTATATACTTGTCTAAGTCTTAGTTATTTGTATATAGTTTTGTTAATACTCCCTGAAAATCAAGCCTCTAAAACAACATTATCTAAAGAAGTTTCCCATTCCACCAAGCCAAGCCAAGCCAACTGCTTGCTCTCAGAGAAGCTTTCCACCTTCTCTACAATCTCTATTCTAAATTCAGCTCACCTGGAGAAATGATGAACTTGAACAAGCTTAATACTTAGCCACTGGCTGTTTTAAGTTCTAGGCATGTGACTGGAGGCCTAAGGAGATAATTGAGCTTGGTGATTAAATCCTAGGCCCAGCACACCTGAGAGCTGTCCCCAGTCCTATTATAGAAACCTTTGAGTAACTAATTATTCTGGTGCTAAATTTCCACTTAACTCCATTTTTTAACATATAATCTGCAAAAAATCTGATAAAATTAGGTGTTTCCAAACATTACTGGATATTTAATTTCTTCACCCCAATGATTATCTTCATTTTTTATGATGACTTAATGTAAAGTATTAATTAACCAAACCATTTGGAACTCAGGTTACCTATAATGAGGAACATAACTCTTAAATTAGAAACTGACATTAATATTGTTTTCTTTCGTAATATAATGAATCTTTGAGTATTCCATGCAAAGTGAGAGGGTTTCAACAGCAATAACACCGGAAGGGACAGTCAAGCCAGTAACAGCAGCTTAAAGAGTCTCCTAGAAGGATCATCACTTAAAATTCTTTCATGCAAAGCAGGAAATAGCATCCAGTTCCATGCTTTAGATGAGTACTCTAATTAGCAAGATACCATATGGAAGATATAAGATAATTTGAAATTAAAAAGCCCAAATTACTCCTGGGTTTTGTTTATTTTTTGAAAGGAAAGGACTTTGATATTTACCATCAGAGTTTTGGACTGCAAATCCTAAATTCAGGAAATTATTTCCCTTCTGTTAAAGTATAGCATCTAAGCACTGCATACGGATAGGTTGGGATTTAAAACACACCATTTGCCTTAGTATCTCCTACTGACTGACATAGCCCATATGTAGTCAGTGCACTGATGTTAAGAATCCCATTTTCATACATTTCATAGAAAAGTTAAGTGGCTGACATGGACCTTTAGGGACAGTAGCTAAAAGCTAGATGCTGTGTTGCTGCTTTCCCTTGTGAACTTAATAATTTAAGTATCAGATTTCCCACTTCACAGATAACTAATAATATTTACTTCCTGTGGAGACCATCGTGAGGAAAAATGAAATAGTGTGTCTGACTGAGAGCCGCAGAAGGAAGTTGCTAAAGAAATGCAAAAGTATATTTAGCATCTGCTTAAGAATCTCCATGTGGACCTGATTTGTGTGTCATCCTTTGGATAGACCTTGCACAGGGCCCCTGCAATCTCCTGCTGTGTTTTGCAACAGTGCCTGAGGGAGAGATAAGTTAGGGAAGGGTGATTAAAAAATTTCGTCACTATGCTGGGGAAGGCTCTTGGTTGTTCACTGGGCTGTGACTGAGTTTCTAGTAAGCAAATTTTCCTTATTGCAGTGATTCCTGAATGAGACTGTCTGTCTAAACACTTAAATAATGAAAAGCAACATCATAAAAAATGCATAGAGAGAGGCACTTGGTTAGAAAACCTTTGCAGCTAAAAGTAACAGAATAATCTTAAGGGATATATGAACTCTTCTGTTTGGAGCATTCTTACCCTGCCGGACTGTGCCTTTGTTGGAGAAACAGCTATTCAACACTTTTCCTGGTAGATCCTTTCCCTGCTAGAACTCCCACTATGCACTTGAGCTCAAGTCTGTTTATATAATTTACTGACAATGTTTTTCTCAAGATCTTAGCAATTGGTGTGATTTTAGATGTCCAATCTTTTCTAGGTGTAATATTATTTTTCAGCTTCCACAATGAATTAATTTATTCAAATGTGAAGACTTATTGATTACATCACAATCATGCTGGAATTTAATTTTTGCTCATACTTTACCATGCTGTGTTTAACTAAAAGGTTAATTCAGTCATTTGGTTCTTCGAAAATACATTTTATGACATGAGTCGGGTGTTTTACTGATACACAATAGGATTTTTTTGAGTACAATACTTTTAGAGGCATACTTTCCAGTACTTCTATATGATACTGCTAAATGATTCACTTCTTTGTTATTATTCTAGCATGCACTGGCAGTCAGAGATTATATTAATTTTCCATTTATATATCATATCTTCTAAAAGCACTCGACAGGATGTACAGGAATCACTACATTCAGAAAAAGAACAAGAGCTAGTGGAAAAGCTGCACGACTATCTACAAAGAACAATGCTACACGACAATTTATGATAAGCAAAAAGGGAAAAACAGTGCAGGATGGGGCAGTGCAGGTGCAATTACGGGGCTCAACTGAGGACTGGAAGACTGGACTGCAACCTTGGCTATACTATAGACCTGTTACTGATAGCAGCAAATTTGCAGTGGTCGCCTTGGCCTGTTTGTATTCCTCCCTTCCTCTCGTTTGTGGCACTGCCAGAAGGCAGCCCTTCCTCTCATGTAATGCTGCTCTGCTTAAATAACTCCAGAAGACATCAGTTACTACTAGGCTGCTAGAAGGAAGGGTCGCAGCCTTTCATTTTTCTAGAAGAAATGGACACTATTAACAGTCTGACACATAACTTCTGAAATCCAGCCATCTCTGAAGTACGGTGTGTATGTATAGTAGAAAGATAGTATGGTGTGAAGTATAGCTATTTATCAGTGAACCATGACAACACTCAATAGTTTTAAGATAAAAAATAAGGAACAACTTCCACACATAGATGCCTTAGGTCAAAAAAATACATTCACAGTACCTAATGTCTGTTGCCCAAATGATCAGGTGCTTTTCTTTTTGTGTTACTTACGCTAATTTTCTGCTTTGCACAGTGCTGAATCCAGTGAAGGAACAACTCCTGCTGATACCACCTCCATCACCAGGAGAGACAAATGTGAGTTTGACCGACATGATTGACAGTCAGTAAGTCTATCGGCTTCTGAAATAAACAGAAAAACAGATGAGTCAAAACCTCCTTGGCAGTTCAGGCTTAGACTTGTGCTGCTGCAAGTGCTATGCATGAAAGTGGAAAGTCAGAAGAACAGACAGTAGATTAAATAGAAAAAAAAGACTTGTCTGCTATACACGTTTCCTCTGTTGCCATCCACAATACAATTAATAAGGGACTGAATAGTCTAAAATGAAATCTCTCATGCCCTCTTCAATTTCTGATTGATTTTACAAACGCACTATGCAAAAGCCAGAATAGCCTCAATTCACAGGCTCTCTACATTTCTGATTTTTCAAAAACCCTGTAATTGTCCCACTGCTTAAGGAGTTCAGGCCAACCGGTGTATTTCCAAATCATTGTGGATGCCAGAACAATACTTAAGCTCCAGACTTAGTCAGGTCCAAAAAGCAGTTCCTTGCATCTGTGCAGAGCCACGCTGAAGTCAATGGTAGAATTGGCTGAGTGTGGTACTTCAGCCCACGGCAGAAGTCTGGTTTCAACAGTAAATTTCAGGTTCATGCTCCTCCTCTGGCAGGATTTCTCTTGGATTGCTCTCTTCTGTTTTCCATCAGTCAAACTCTTTTGCTTTCTGGAGAATTGTGTTCTCTGCCATATGTCTATAGAATCCAAGTTACAATATAAGTAACAGACATATCCTTCAAAGCAGCTGTAGAAAATCACCCAGACAGTTAATATACAGAAAAATTCCCTTCGTCCCCCCCTCAAGCTGGTGTAATGTAAACACCACAACTGAGTAAAACTGAGTAAAATAAAAAGCTGGAGTATCTATTTGTAGAGAGACGTACAAACTCCAATAAAGAGCTCTACATGGAGATGCTCCATGCAAAAGTTTGTCCTACATTATAGAATGTGCTCTGAAGAACAGTGAGCTCTTAATCTGTCCGACTAGATACTGGAAAGAAACATCCACACTCAGCCCCTATGCCTGACATTATCCCACCAGCATGGCTACAATCAATCAGACTAGAAGCCCAGAAATGTCAGGATAAGACTCTTTTCCTGGCTCTGCCACTAACTTGGAGAGCAACTTAACTCAATGCTCTTCCAGACTGCATATAAAGAACTGAATGGTTGAACTATACTTCCCGAGAGGGGTGAGATTTGAGAGTGTTTTGCTAATTCTGGGCTAGTCTACAAGTACAGGGAATTACTGTAAGTGACTATGCTTTAGGTATCATTATCTACCAAAGCAGTAACACAAGTTGTAATGGATTTCCACAAGCAGAGATCCTGCAGTGAGACCTGACCGTTTCATTAGAAGCTGCTCAGTCAGTTCCCTGGGCTGAGGTCTAAGACTCCCATTTCTTTGCCTGCTCTACAGGCTGTGCAAAGCTCATGAATACATCTGTGAAAAACAGGCAAAAGATTTTAGAACAAGACGTGAAAATGATAAAGTTGAGCCAAACAGCTACCTGCTTTGCAAGCTACCTAGTTTGTCAAAAGAAGTGTTGGGCATGGCTAGGTATTTTGTATCTCAGTGCATCAAAGTCCACATGTCTCCATAGCTTCAGTAGTATCAACAGAAATCTGTTACATGGAAAAATTTAGGTGCATCTTAATCACCTTTTAATCAAACTGTACAGCACTTACGTTCTCTTGCTTTGAAAGGATGCCTCCCTGACACCCTTAATCAGAGATTGTACTTGCAGCACAACACAGCTGAAGTTTCAAAATCTTTTCCATTCTTTCCTCTAGTTTTCAGATGCTTGTAAGTCTGTGAACAGTCACCCCATCAAAAGGATCATTAGACTGAAAAAAACATGCAACTTACTGAAAAATGCGATTGCACAACAAGCTGTTAAAGGAAGAAATAAAAGGAATAGCCTCATGGTTATTGACCACATCCCTCATCAAGGCTAAGCCAGATTCCCAGGATCTATTCTTCAGGTCTCTAACCTGGGAGAGTTAGTTCATGAGTAAAAGGGAGGAAGAAAGTGCACGAAAAGTTTGTCTAATTTTACAGGACTCCTAAAGCCTGCACAGCATGGGACTGAAAGCCTTTGAAGCATATAGGTATGAAATAGAAAAAAACAGGCAGACCCTTGACAGGGAACAGAAAGTGGAAAATGATGAGAAGACTCCTGAAGTACAAATCCGTGGTACTGAACCCCAGGTGTGAAGAATTAAGTTGGAAATATAGAGACCCCCAAAACTCAGTTGGTGAAAGAAAGAAATTGCTTAAATTGCCTAGACTTGATTCCGTTGCCACATGTGTTTTTATAAATAAAATATAATTCTGGACTTCAAGAAGATACACTGTTGCAAATCAGTCAAAATGAGAGATGAATTGGACCTCACTTGCACATAGCCATAAGCATTTAAAAATTCTCATGGGTCGTTTGGTTTTTTTTAACTGCACAAAGCTCAGTCCTCAAGGCCACTGACCGTGTCATGTTCTGCTGTAACGCGGAGCTACATTCAAAAGCAATTCACAAGCACATTTTCACAGTTCCCTCTTATAAAAATGAAGTGAGTCTAAATAATGTTAGGAAAGCACCATTAAAGGCGTTATCTTTCTTACTTTGAAATAACGTCAACAAAATACCTCATGGTACACACCTGCATATATATTTTTTATAGTAACTGAGAAATCTTACAGCTCATTTCACGCTTCTGAGTAGACAACCATAAGTAGGATGTCAAGACATTTTATTTGTAAGAAAAGTTTATAAATGCAGTTGTTTAAACAGAGGGTTTTGCTAGCCAGAGTGTCTGTATAACAGTGCTGAGCTACGCTACAACTGCCCCTGAGAAAAAGCATCTGGACACATCTCAAATTCAACTCTCCCTTTAGGCTAGAAATAAATCAGATAAGGACCCCTGACAAAGCCGAGTTCAAATCTGTCTTCCAACCTGTAACCTCTGCTGTGTAGGCCAGTGCCTCCAAATCTCATAAATACAGGGATTATACCCTGGGGGACAGAGGTACTTCCTCACTTTTAATCTTCCCCAAAAGCATAGAATGTGAATACGGTAGCTAGCTAAGGGCTGGCATATGTAGAGTGCAAAAGTATCAGGCCAAACCGAAGGAGTCTAGTGCCAAAGGCAATAGAAGCACCGAACTACTGGAAAAAATAAGGGGTCTTGAAAAAGTCTTACAAAGCTTGTGAGTCTTAAACAGACCTCCAAACAGCCAGATACTAATCTACCCAAATGTTTGAATACATGCCATTTTGTAAGATTGAGACTTCACATCTCAGAAACGTATTTTTAATATAAATCAAAGGAGTATTTTTTTCAAATTAGAGTATGTTTGTTTGTCCCTATTTCGATGATGTGCCAATGATTTGCCAAAATAGACTATTAATTAGCATTTAACCTTCAGTGTTACCAAGTATCCAGGCATGTAAGGCCAAACATTTGAGCTTCTATGCAGCAGTGAGTACATTCAAATCCATGTTCTGCTTCATCTCTGTTAGTATTAGGATATTCCTCAAGCCAAATGACCTTCATCCTCTACAAACAAAAAGCTGGTGTCTGTTTGCGTTTATGGCTAAACTTTTCCAGCCCTAGTCACATATTTAATTGTTTCTGGGCACAATGGTTTCAACAGTTTTATGAGGAAAATATGACTCACTGACTTCTTGCAAAATATTTCTGCTTGTGTTTTGTACTTTAAATTAGTCGCCATGCTTTTCTTTTAATATCTCCAAGAGGTTCACTTGAACTTGGTGCACTACTGCTAGAGTAAGGTATTCATGTTTCCTTAAAATTTATAGTGTTCCAATTGTGAATGACCAGTTGGTTAAGAGACACACACTTGCTTCTAGTTGTGTGTCTGCAAAAACTGTACCAGACTCCTCTTTCCTTCAGCTAACTGTGGACACACACGTCGAGTTGATAGCAAGTGGGTATATGTCTCACTAGTATGTCAGTACCTGCTGTTCACTGGCAAGAAATGCACAAATGGCATAAATGCAATGACTGAACACAAACTATCAAACGTCAATCACTTCAATGTCTTAGGATCATGTTTGTGATTCTGGATACATTATGTGATCATGAGAATTTGTCTTACACCGCTTGATGCTAACTTTCTTCTTACATTTTTAGATTATTGGTGTTATTTTTACACATAATTTTATTTTTAAATATTACATTAGCTTTACTGGGAAGGACAACAGAGACATTCTATCTCCTAGTTGTGGAAACCGATCAGAGTTGATTTCATTTTGTATTATCAAACATAATCCTTTTCTCAGTATCAGATGAGCTCAACGTTTTATCGGAGCGACTGCAGCCTTGACCCTAAAATATGTGGCTTATATTTGTGCCTATATGGAGAATCCTCTTAGTAAGTGGATTTTTGCATAGGATAGTACATAGAGTTTATTGTAGGGTTGCCACATAGAATCTATGTCTTTTTAAAGCATGGTTTTATAAAATTCACTTCAGCTCCATGACAGCCAAACAAATTTGTCATTTATGTGTATTGGTTCCATAGCATCTCTACTGAAACTCAGTTTTCACTGTATGTGACCAAAATCAGTAGTGATTAAGTAGATGAACATTTAGGGACTTTAGAGACATTCTCTGGACTTACTCTAGAAACTATCTGCGATTCCAACTAATCATCTGCTGTTTCAAAAAACCCTTCAGACAAAGGTACAAAGTTACTCATTCCACTGCCGTGAATTTATTATGAACTCCACCACAATAACTGTTTTCTTGCTATAACTGCATCTGTATTAGGGCTTTAGCTGACAGAAATATATATTGCAAACACTTCATAGGTGAAAAGACAACCCTAACATTATTACACCAGAAAATTTCTAGCATAAGTCAAATTTAAGAGCAATTTTACAAACTAGACTGCATTTGTCTACCATCACATTGATGTAATCACAATTATTTTTCTTCCTCTCATTTATTTCAAAACTCGGGAACAATGGAATTAACTAACACTTCTGGATGCTTATGATGGGTGGTATCCATTTCA